CCCCCCCAACACACTACTTAACCCCCCTCCCCCGTTCCCCAGGTCTATCACAAAGTATAATGGTTTCTTCTGGCATTAAAAAAGGCTTCTCCATGATTGTAGTGCCACTTCTCCCACTGAGATACAAGTAGAGGGTATATTAAGCGCATCCAACCCATTCTATGACGACAGAAGTAGATTTTTGAAACTTAATGACGCGGATGACGCCGAGGAAGAGGAAGGTGATATGAATAATAGTGGAAGAAAAAGGTAAGTAGCATTGTACGACTAACCTAGAAGTTTTCAAGTGAGCCAGGAAATCACGGCTTGCAGAAAATACAGCACTTACATTAGCCGAGGTTGAGGGGAAAAGCTGGGTCGAGTTCGTATTGCAGTGCATTGTGGGGCTGTCTTAAGAAATAGAATAACGAAATAGACGCCATCACATGCAACAAAAACCTTCAGAGTTGATTATTGCTTCTGTGCTTTGAGAATATACTTCTGTTTCTCCATTTTTAAATTTTTTTTTCTCCATAAAAATAACCTTCTAAATTCCAGTTCTATCTGGCGTCGAACACTTTTAAATAGATATGAGCAAGAGAAAATGAACTAAGAGAAGGAATCCCCGTGCCCTATCATGTGTACACTTTGATGCTATTTTTAGAATCATTGATGCTATTTTTAATTCGTTACCCGCGCGATAATCATGCTTCCCTTTAATGCCTCGTTTTAGGACACGAAAAGCGCCTTATTTCGCTACGTCCACGACAAAAACACAGGCTTTTGTTTACTGCAAGCCGCCTACCCTCAAGAAATCAACCAATCAGGTTATTCGCTCAAAATATCTCAAGCTAAAAATAGCATCAAACTGTGCACATGATGGTTACAATGCTATATAGGCATATATATAGGGGGGATTCCTTCTCTTAGTTCATGTTCTCTTGATATGAGTATCTGTCTTGGAATCCATCCCCGAGTAATCGACTTAAAACAAATTCAAAACTTAAATTAGTCATATTCTACTAATACTGAGCTAATACTGAACTTATACTGTAAGAAAGCCAAGAGATTTCTTTCTAACTCTCCCGAGAAAACAAACCACAAAGATTGTTTAATTTTTTCATTTTTAGCAAACGTAAACCAGAGGGACAAGAAAGAAAGACGCGTAGCGTCAGTAACCCTTTCTATCACGACGACAACAAATACTTGAAACTGGAAGGAAACATCATTGAATCTAATGTGTAACGAACCGCAAGTATTAACAGGATCCTGTCTTGCACAAGGTCTATTAACCTCTCAAGAATCGGGAGTGGGGGGGGGATCTCTCTTGCGACTTGATATGGAATTTCACCTCCACCCTTTGGGTAAGATAAAGTAAAATCCCCCCCCCCCTCTCTCCCTCCCTCTCTCCCTCCCACATCAGCCTAATTTAATCCCCATTTTTTGTTATCCAAATATGTATATATACATACGACTATTATGACGATTTTAGGGTACTTTCACCACGATAAATAATGCTTATAATAAATAGTATTTTAAATACATCCATAATCATCCAAAACGTAGATTTCAGCAACCTACGCCACACGTCTGAGTTTGTTCTAGCTTCCGTCAACCTGTAAAATGTACTAACTCTGAGAGTTTAAATTTGATGGATGGAAGGCCGAACACTGACGCGCCGCGTCTGCTGTGGTATTGGACGCAGAAACATGAATAGCGGTCCAAAGGAGCTGTTTTATTAGGCAATTTTTCTCAGTAGCATCTTCTCTCTAAAGAACAGAACCTTGAGAGTTATTAGGGGACTGTGCTTAAAGCCCCGTTTACACTGGCGATTTTTGCGGCGATTTTTGTGGCAATTTTCGGAAATATGAAATCCTTTGTCTCATCCTTCAAAAGAGACATTCAAAAAAACCTTGGTATCCTGAAAAAAACTTTACAAGTAAATTCTTTACCATTATTTGTTATGGGCAAAATCGCAAAAAAATCGCAGCAAAAATCGCTAGTGCAAACGGGGCTTAAAGATAGGTTGCCTTGGAGATTACAGCCACTGATCTGGTCTCACGAACGACCTAATTTTTGAGGATACAGCTATTTTAAACAACGCTGAATACTGAATACTGCAAACTAAAAAGTGTATTCCCAAATCGAAAAGTAAAAACTTTTTTAGACAATATTACATGAAACCCAAAATTCATTTTATCTGAAACAATATACTGGCTTCATGCGTCAGAAAGGAAATCGCTGTATATTTAGTCTTTATTTCAAAATTAACGATACCCACAATGCCCTTTGGTCTTGACCATATGTTCATTATGCAGTATTCAGTATTCAACATTTTTGAAAAAGCTGTATATACGGTTCATCATTTACAATCATCCTCTTCGTCTTAGAATATTTGTTGAAAAATAACATTTTATTTTTCGAGAAATTTTTTTTTAGTCATTAATATAAAGTTCACTATTTAGAATATAATTATCTAGTTCTAACGTAAGATAAGCTGGTCTTAACTTTAGATGTTATTGACTCTGTAGTTTAATATTTGTTCGTAGTATTTAGATTTTGTATTTAGTATTTAGAAGGCATGAAGTTAGTGATTGTGCTCCCCTTTTGAAATAGTTTTAGTAAACTAACAAACAAACTAGTAGTCTCCTATGGAGCCGCTATTTAAGTGTCGTCATGCAACGCTCTCACACCTAAGTAGCTAAATTATACTGCGAATTTTGATTGATTCGTAGAAGAATCCACTAAGTGATTCAATTGGGTGATGGAAAACCCCACGTAAGTGATGTGCATTACAACACAAATTGATATGCATTATAACGCGAATTTGGATTGGTTCAACTAAATGATATGCATTATAACACAATTTTTGATTGGTTCGCGGAATAACCCGCTAAAGTGATAGTAAGCCATACTACCATAGCTTTTCAACTCCTACGTTTTACATTTTAATAATTTGGCAATAATCTATTAGGGATTATCAGAGAAATCTGGGTTTATCCTGCGTCGTCTCTAATTGAATGATAATATGTCGTCTAACTCTATCAATTCTTATTTCTTACATGATGAAGATGATGTAATGACATTTTCGGCAAAACAATAAATATGTAAAAATTGAATAACAATCGATAGGTCACATGCATTACAGCATCATTTACTTCCACTACCAGAATCCCTTGCACACTTTCTTTGTTCGTTAATTAGTAGCAATTGTCTTACCATTCTCATGAGGAAATAAAGATTTAAATAAGAAAGAAAATTTGCAAAGCATTTTGGTAGTGGTAGTCAAATGACGCCATCATGCAAACGGCCTTTGATATTTTGAAAATCATTCATTATGATTTCTGGTTGACTCGCTCTTGCCTTGATACATATATTAGTGAGCGCTACGCCGCTGTTTGAACTGGATGGAAATCAAAATTAATATAAGATGTGTATTATGGTTAATACCTACTTTATATTATTTTACTTAATATAACCCGTGAAATAGGCGCAGGAACCCCAAGTGTCCGTAATATCAAACTATAAGTTTTTTCGTACGACTGTGAAAAGCTCGTGACACTAACGCGTTCGTGACACGGCAAGGGCATACGCCAGACCAATCACATGGCGAGATAATTTCCTCTCCATCCAATCAAATACCCGAAACATGACAATAGCACGGGGTAGAAACGGTCACGCAAAGGTCAGGCATTGCCAGGCCAATCGCATTGCGCGAGAAAAAAATCAGCCAATCAAAATTATAAATGAAAAAAAAAACAACCACCACGGCACAGCACGGTTACGTCACTGTTCTTTTCACAGTCATAAGAAAACTGCTCAAATAGCAAATGCGTATCACCCTGGCGTCCTTTTGAAATGTTATTAGTTTTTAGAGTTATTAGCTCATAAACACGAGAGAAGCGTAGGAGCCAGAGTAATTATTGAAGAGCGTTAGAACTCAGTTATTTCATATCTTGAAATTTATATTAGCATCTATTTCACGGGTTAAATGGAAGCGCTTTAAATATATTTTATTAGTTTCATATTAAATGATGACAAGGCATCTGGTAGACAAGATGTTACAAATTCTAAAGACATAATTTAAAGGAATATATCTTATCTGATTGTACAATAATTATTGAAGAATAAATCTATCTCGTAATTGTATGTGCGGATGCATTCTTTTAAAATCCCGCAGGAATCCCTCGATTTAGATGCGCAGTAAACGTGCGCGCAACATTACGAGAATGCTTCAAAGCAGAGTTCCCAGAGCCTGCATTTTCTTCTGGCCTGCAGCGAAGAACCGAGGGCTCTGGCATAATCCATTTTTTGAGACCAGGATTTCTTGGACTTCCGGTTCAAAAGCGCATGCGTTCAAAGACTTGCCGAAAATTAAAAATACTTTCCCGATTTATAAGTTTTTTCTATGATCTTTACTTTGATTTTTACTTCGATTTTTGCTTTGATTTAATTTTTAATTTGATTATTTTGATCGGTTATATATCTCTTTTTCGAAAATAGCGCATGCGCCAAAAATGGATTATGCCAGAGCCCTCGTTCTTCGCTGCAGGCCAGAAGAAACGCAGGCTCTGGGTACGAGATTGGGCTCTAGGGTCGATCGTATTTTTTTCAGAGCCGTTTTTCTCCAGAAAACGAAACAGTCTGGGTTAACCCAAGGTACTATTATTTTGACTGGTACTCGTTATGGTATGGCTCTTGTAGTTCAATTCTAAGCGCACGCACATTTTGGTGATTCAACGACTGGCGCGCAACCGTTAACTTGGTCCAGCAATAACAAGGTATTACAAATGAAGTCTTGAAAATATGAATAAATTGGCTGTTTGTCGCTTATGATGCAAACTAGGTAAAAATACTGGTACCTCTTTTGAGGAATTTACTTATCAAATGTAGAATCAATAGACCGGGGTTTTTTTCAAAATTCGAAAATGCTGGGTCACACGCGAAAACCATTCATGACATCGTGCGCGTGCTCACACAGATAACATTGTTTACTGTGATGTCATGCCAACATCGCCCGCAAAACGCACAAGGAAAGAAAATGTAAAACACGAAGAGATAGAAGTTTATGACAATGAACTCAAATGATTCAAATCCTGGAAAAATTATCTGTGAACAGCGCCACCAATGTGTCGTTAAACCAACGACGAACAACATTCCGACAAACAATGCCAGTGTTAACGGCGCCATTCAAGTTAAAAAACAAAACTTCAACAACAAAGGTGAACAAAACTTTCAACTCGTTCGTTTACTCACCACGAATCCAGCTGCTGCCTTACCTGCGATTTTTTCACCCAGCGGCAAGTACGAGCAGAGAAGAGCCAAGATGGCGCCTATCAGAGAACAAAGAACTACGCCTGTGCAAACACAGCAACCGCTTGGATACGTACAAGTCCCGTTCAATGCGTCGGCTCATAACGTGATAAGGACAGCTGCTGGTCAGTTTTTTGTTAGTCTGCCTGTACAAGCTGAGAGTTATCCGTACTTATATGCAACGGAGGATGAGATAGATAAGAAAGGGTCGTGTCGTGATGGACTAGGATGCTTTGACCTACAGTCTATCCTACCAATAGACTGCCAATTGAATACCTTCAATGAATAAATCAAATAATATGTAAGAAGTAAATATAGGATCATAATTTCAAATAGTGACTTCCATTGCATAGGAGATTGTAACTAGTAGATAATAAATAATGAATAAGTGTGATTGCAATTTATTTTAGCTTGTTTCTCAGCTCAAACGATAGGCATTCAATAGCTGACTCGCACTGCCCGTCAAGTGATGTCGACTTCAGCTCAACATAACGCACAATAGGCATTTGCAGGAAATAATCACATAACAGTTACTGGATGGCATAAAAATCGGACTTACAGTGTAGTTTACTTAAATAACTTTTTGCTGGATTACTTATATCTAAAACCTTTTTTAAATATTTTTTTCCTCTTAAGTTTTTTTGAATTCAAGATACGAAGAAATTTAACGCGTGTTTGCTATCCAACAGTCTTTCCATAGGGACCTTTGGCTGAATTGATTCGTTATCAAAGTGTTAAATCAGCACATAACTGTTTGGTGCAAAGGATCTTTTCATGATCTTATTGGAGGACACGTTTCTTTCCACGGTCTAGAGAGAGAGGTTAGGAAAATAAATGACAACCACACAATTGTAAACGAGCTTTTTTATGCATTGGCAGGATACAATAATCTTAAAATCATTTCTTCTTCTTCTTCTTTGGGTGGGTACCATCATCTGTAGTATTTTTGTTTCCTTTCAGTGTCCTCTTGGCTTTGAATATCATATCTATATCGTCATCTTCTTTTTGTCTTTGATGAGCCTTTGCTCGCTTCGATGCAACCTTCTGTCAAAAGAAAAAAATCATAGGGCTTTCCTTTAAGTTTTCTTTCAGACATCGTTTAAACAGGGTTCGTGCTGAGGTAACCACTTTTTAAAATATTCAAGGTCTATTCAAGGAGTATACAAGGACCCAAAAATGAAATTTCAAGGAGTATGTTCAGCTAAATTGCCAAGGTTTTACACAGTGGTTGCACATGGCCGACATTCAGATTTTCCAATCTTTCTGACTAGATCTATTTCAGAACCATGCAAATAATGATCAAAGCAAAAATTCAAGGAGTTTCGCTAACATCATAAAATTCAAGAGCTTTTCAAGTGCCCTTGAAAACGTGAATTAAATTCAAGGAGTTTTCAAGGAGTTTAAGGAGATGCACGAACCCTGTTTAAAGATATAGAAGGATAGTGCATGGGAATTTTGAAGGAAAAACTACCGGAAGGTAGTCAAGAAGCCTTTGGATTGCCTTCAACTCTATGATGAATACAAATGTCAAGGCTACAAAAAAATCCATTGCTAAGATATTTTCAATTCCACAGCGACTCGAGGCCAAAACTACCAAAAGAGTGGCTGGAATTTTTTTCATTGGATAACGGTGCTCGATTCATTTTACGGGTTACATTCCTWCCCCTTTCCATAACTACACAACCAACACAGCCCAATGCAAGACCTCTGGGAGTTTTGCTTCCATCAATTCTTTGATTGCACTTTACGTCATCGTCATCTCAGAGCGTTGGAAATTTGATCGACGCAAGCGAAAAATCTTGACGTCTCAAATCAAAGCTAGTCGTTTATTTATGAAGATGGGGGAATAATACTGTACCTCGGTGTTGGGGTCTTCAAGATTCTTGGCTGTATCAAACCCTAACACAGCCATTTCAGCAGCGTAGGATTTGACAACACATCGTTCTTGTTGTTCCTCCTTCATTCCTTTCGCCTTTTTTTTCTTTTTTTCTTCTTGATGGATAATCTCGTCAAAAATCTGCCTCTTCTTATTTGCTTTTTCTTCCCTCTGGATCCAGTCACCTTTCTTCCTTTTAAATTGTTCAAGGCCGCATTTCTTTATTACCTTACTGCCAAAGAAATCCTTGGTAAGCTTGTGTTCATCTTGGAGTAGTTCTTGTAGGATAAGTTCTTTGTGTGATATGTCTACATGAATCCAGCATGTTTCCACGACATGACTGGCTTGTTTGTCACAAGAAAGCTTCGCGAATTCACCCTTAACGTAAAATTATTTAAAATTAGTTTGAAAGGAGAAAATTACAGAGCACAAGTAGGGAAAGAGTTTCTCAGGTGGGGAACACAAGCACAAGTGGGGAAAGCATTTTGTCTTTGCTCACACCTGTGAGAGAAGAGCTGCACTGAGTTTGTGTATGTTGCTGATGCTTGTACTTGTGTGTTGTAGACTAAGTTATGCATTGCTCATTAACAGCAGTTGACTTTCCTCGCACCTGTTAGAAAAGAGCTGCATTGAGTCTGTGTATGTTGCTGATGCTCATACTTGTGTTATAGACAAGTTGTGCATTGTTCATTAACAGCTGGTGTCTTTCCTCTATTTAGTAAATTCAAGTTTCAACATTACCTTCAGCTTTTCACATAGGCTGTGTTTCTTTTTCTCTTTAACTGTTTTGCTAATAAAGAATGCCTCTGCCGTTCTGGATCCCATTGGATCTTGACAGATTCTCAAAAGCTCTTCTATGCTCATGCCAAGAAGACTGTCTACAAACACCTTTGGATCTTGAAATTCGAGAAGCGTTTTCAGTAGCACAGATCCGTGAAAGTTGATGTTCTTTAATCTTGGTAGTTCCTTTTTAATCTAGAAATTTCAAATTAAACAAGTTGAAGAAATTTTAGTAAATGCCAAAAAAAAAAAAAAAAAAGAAAAAAAAATGAACAAACAAAGCTAACAAAAAAATAAACAGAAAGCACTTGTCTTCTTTTTTAAGTTTTTATTTTGGTTGGTTTTGCTGTGTTAGGCAGCACAAAGATGGAAGGTATGTAGAGCAATTTTTTTTCATACCATCCCCAGATTTTTCTCAAGGAAATGATGGATTGGGGACAGGGGCAGATATGGGATAGTTTTAGGAGGGGGGTACAAATTGTCAGCTCATCTAGGGGGTGCACATCTCCTGTACCCCTCCCATGGACCTGCCCCTAGGGGAAGTCTGTATTAAACATGTAACATGTAACATTTTCCATAATAAAAAAACATGCAACCAAAATCAGCAGATACTACAACCGCGACCACCTAGATAAATTAGTATCATTAACCAATCATATTGCGGCATTTAGTTCAATATTTTTAACAAGCCAATCAGATAGCACATTGATGTAATAAGAGCGTGAGAACGTGATAATCTGATTGGTTAACACTGTTATCAGTTCAATTTCTGTCTAGTTTACTGTTATCTGATTGGTCAGTAATATTCAAGAGGTCCCGGTTAGTGTGTCTGCACAGTAAATATGACTTTAAAATCTCAAACCATACCTCAGATTTTTCTGTTTGCTCATCTTTATTCTCTTCATCTGTTTGTTTGCTCTTATCATCATCTTCTCCAAAGAATATATCATGTGTTGTCATAGACAAGAGAAGAGTCGAGGAAGACTTTTTTTCTTTTTTTCCAGTGCAGTGGAAAGCCTCAAGTATTGCTCGCTGTAGGTCTTGCTGCTTTACTTCAAGTCTTACACATAATTCAGCCATTCTGGCAACCACACCATCATGACCTGCTGAGAATAACTCCTCCATTTCACCAAGTAGTTCATCAAGCATTTGCTCACCCTAAGAAAAATAATGGTCAGTAGAGCTCATGGTATTCAGTTATGGGGGTAGAGCAATATCTACTCTCCATGGTAGGGTTAGTAGTGGTATCATCTCATGAGGGTAGAATAATATCTTTACTCTCCAGGGTAGGGTCAGTAGTGGTATCATGTCATGGGGGTAGAGCAATATCTACTCTCCATGGTAGGGCAAGTAGTGGTATCATCTCATGAGGGTAGAATAATATCTCTACTCTCAAGGGTAGGGTCAGTAGTGATGTTTTTTTCCATTGCAAACTCAGGTTCTAAATGGCTTTCTAAAGGCGAGCAAGACTTGTAAAACTTAGCTCCTCATTAATATTTATCAGCTTGGCGGAGGCTTTGATAGACAAGTTATCATTTGAATAGACCTCCTTGGCTCGGCGTAATGTTGTCCCATTTCAGACCACGTGTCATTCCCTTGAGAATAATATTCTTTGTTTGAGTTGTATCGATATTCATGTGTCTTCTCATGTGCAACCGAACGCAAACCTTAAGCAAAGAAATGATACTCTAGGGAATGACACGTCTTCTGAAATGTCAGAGCCGAGGAGGTCTATTTTCAGCAATGAGCAAGTCTAGAGGAAGAGTGAGGGTAAGACATTATCTACTCACCAGAGTAGGGTCAGTTGTGCTTGCCAGTAGATGTTGTACAAGGTAGTTAGATACATGATGTAATGCTAGTGTCTCTAAGTGACCTTTAAAGTAATTCTTATAAAGCTTCTTGTGTCCTTTTGGTGAGATTACGTGTAGAATCTTCTCTACCAGATGACTACCAACATCATGAGAAAAAAGTGAAGGAATTTGATACCTGAAATATATTCAAACACAATTCTATTATTATTATACATGTAATGAAATACGTACACTATAGGAAATGCCTTCCAACATTATGAACATAAAGCAAAAAATTAGGGATTTAGTACAAGGGGTCTATAGACATGAGAGACATTTTTTTAGGCCAGTATGACACAAAGTAAGACAAAAGAAAACAATGCACTTCAGGGCTAACAAAACAGTCGGTCATCCGACAATGTCAAACCAGAATCGGAACTTGTCTGGTCAAATCTTTACTTTCAGTCATTTTGACCATTGAGCCAGAAACGAGTTATGACCGAGCTAAAAATAAATGGGCTGGTCATCAGGACTTACAACTGACAGAACAATTTTTTACGCCCTGGGAATTAGTGTCTACTACTACGTGCCAAATAAAATCACTCTATTAAAGTAGTAAGACATGTAATTTGCATTTACTTCTTATTTCCATTGTCATCATAATTCTCTCCCTTGTTATTGTTCCCTTCAAGTTCTTCCATTTCATCTTCCATTTCATCTTCCATTTTTTCAGTTTCATTAAACTCCACTTGGTTCATAATCTTCTTACAAAGCTTCGAGCAGAGCTTGGGATTCTTTTGATGGAGAACAAGTAAAAGAGTCTGTAACACAGGACAACTGAGATGGCTGAAAACTAGTTTCTTCAAATCCATTTCCATCATCTTCAGGGATAGTCTTTCAAGCATTGATATAAAGCTGTCTGGCACAGCAATGGTTTGAGATGCAGTGACCGCTTCGGTAAATCCAAAGGCTTGTCCAACTAAGAAATAAATGGAAAACACTCAAGATGAGATGGACATACTATAAATAAGATTCTAGTATATGTTCAGGGACTGTGGAGATCTGGGAGGAAAAACGGGGCACACTATTTTAGCCTCAATTTCAAGAGGGGCATTCCCCTAGGCCCCAGATTCACCCCATCTTTTCCACTTTCATAAAGTTTCCTCAACCACACTACTACAACAGTTCAATCACTATTAACAACACCCAACACTCAACTAACATGATAATTTTTCACAGAGGCTGGAGGAAAACTGGAAAACCCAGTAAAAAAACTTGCAAGGAACAGAACAACACTTCAAACAAACTCAATTCACATAAAGTTCAGACAAGAATCAAACCAATAAGCACACTGTGGTGAAAGACAGTGATGGAGGAGCACCTGCCATCCACCATTGTTGGTTTGCACTCATTCACAAGAGAATAAGATAACAAAAGACACAGTGGTCATGTTGGATGATGCAACAAGACATGGCAGCCATGTTGGATGATGTAACAAACCACCATGTTGGATGATGTAAAAAAAGACATGGCACCATGTTGGATGATGTGAAAAAAAAAACATGGCAGCCATGTTGGATGACTAAAAAAAGACATGGCAGCCATGTTGGATGATGTAAAAAAGACATGGCGGCCATGTAACAAAAGAGGTGTTAAATTCATCCAACATGGCGGCTGTGAAAACCAGCAATCTTTGCAAACGTTCAATATTAATCAATATTAATCTTACCTGGTTTCACTCTCCCAACTTTTTTGTCATGCATCTTAAATGCCTTTCCCCTGCAACCCCTGGAGTTCCTACTTCTTTGCACATCATCAGCAACACGAACACCAGCCAGTACTTCGAACACAGCACGAACAACATGCGATCCGTAGGTATTCTCTATCAAGTCACTCAAATTATCCTCAACAAAAGTACAGTAAGATAAAAACAATTCCTCCATAGATAAACTTTCTTCTTCCTTCTTGTCTACCTCCTTTACTTTAATACGTTCAGCGCGAATCGTTCTTGGGACCAAGTTAACTAAATTCTGCGTGACGTGACTACCAAACCTGTCACAAGTTACGACTTCGTAACTATTTGATAAGTTATTCCAGATTTTCTTTAGCTGTGCATCGTTTAAGTGGTTCAAAAGCCTCTCTAATACCCTGCTCATGGCTTGATCACAAGCGAGAAGGAGCTCGTGATCCTCGACTTGCGTAAAGACATTTTCAACGAAGAGTTTCTTAGATTCTTCGTCTTCAAAGTCGTCATCTTCGATGACACTTTCGACGCGTTTGAAATAACTCAAAGTATCTTCATCGAGTTTGCTCTTTGAGCTTGTTTCCTTGTTTTCTGTATCAGCCATATTTTAATGCAAGAAATGATCCAGATCGGGAAAAAAACCAAGGTAAATCTTCGAGAATTTATAAAAATTTATCCAAGTTCGTCCGCCATTTTGAAACCATGTGGAAATATTAGAACCCAGGCTACTTTCGAATAGCATTCCGCTGACTCAATTGATTGCTTGTTCATAATAATAGACTTTGTAAAATTTTGAAAAAGTTGGAGAAAAAATTATGTACAAAAAGAATTAAAATAATGTTTAGTAGGGTATTAACTTCTCGTGTTTCTGGCCTGATGGTCTTTAATACTGCACAGACAACATGTACAAGACTTTCAGCGGTCCGATTTCTTTCTGCAAAGAAAGGTAAGAACAAAAACTGCAGAGTCATTGTCCCACATGGCTACCAAGACTTATATATTATGTTTGATATTATTAACAATTAGATATGTTTAGCTGTGTTTATTCTACATATAAATAGATCCCTTGTACCAATTCCCAGTACAGCTCAATTTGGATTATACAATGTAGTACGATTAATTAATATAACTGTTTTCCGAAAGAAGGGTCATTATTGTATTGCTATATGTAATAGGACTCCATGCTGTCCAATTAAGAAATAATTGGACGACGAAAATTCCGAGGACTTCCAAAATTGGATGAGGCTGTAGGCCGAGTCCAATTTGGCAGTCAGAGGAATTTGTCGAGTATAATTATTTCTTGATTGGGGAGCATAAAATCCCATTACCTATTAATTATATAGCTGCCTAATTAATCCCATATCAACAAGACCTGTCCAGTTAAGAAAATAATTGGACAGTTACCTATATGGGATTAATGAGAAGCTGTATAATTATATGATTAATAAACTTCCATAAATCATATAGACACATATATTCATTGTGGTTTAGGTAAAGCCAAAAAAAAAGTTGGAGGAACAGTGGCTTATGACCCTGAGTTGGCTGAGGGATTGGTTGACTTTGATAAAATAAGAAGAAATATGGAAAGTACAGTGGACAAGCTAAAACAGGACTTTACAACCAAAATAAATGTACAGTTAAGACCTAGTAAGTTATCAAAACAACAGTTGTGACAGGGAAATTGGGTAATACACTTCCATCAATCAAATGAATATTGGTTGGTACCTTTAAAACTCTGATTGTCGGCAGTGTATTGCCCTATTTCCCTGTTGCAACTGTTGTCTCAATGAGCTTGTAGCAGTGAAAAGAGTGGTAAATGAATGATTATTGCCTTTGACTTTACTATAATTACTAATGACATTAAATAGCACACATGGAATAGATCTAATTTGTTTAGGTTCAATGTTTTCCCATTACAGACCAAGTGTCAATTCCAAAGATTATCAAAAAGCAAAGAATATTATTCTCAAGGGAGTGACATGTGGTCTGTAATGGGAAAAGATTGTGCCATGATGAATTAGGTGAATGTCATATCATATATCCATGGCATTTCATAGGCATGTGCCACTAAAAACTTTCTCTTTTCCAACATTGTCATGGAAACTTTGAATGATGTTCAACAACAAAATTTTTGCTTTCTGGTCATGAGTTTTTAAAATGCTTTGTTCAATTCAAAAAGCTAGAGATACATTCCGTTTACTTCATGACTTTTTTTAAAGTATCTCCCTTTGTTGGTAGCACCCAGAATAACCTCTGTTGACACCTGCTCAATAGTCCCTTTCACAGTTCTCTGCGTCATTTTGAAAGGTATAGACCACTTTGGAATGCAGCTCAAGCTGTGCTTTCGCATCAAAGCGAGGGTTTACAGTCATTTCGCCCACGGACCATTTCGCCCACGCCAATTCGCCCACGCATAAAATCATCGCTACCACTTGGAAATTACCAAAACAGAACTTCGATGAGACTTGTTAAAAAGAAACATAGTCTCTTGAAAGACATTTGTATATGATTTTGAAGCATATTGGAGCGATCATTTCATGATACGATCAGTGAAAGTGGAGATCTAAACGCGACCAAGGACAGCGTTCACTTAATAGCTACCATATTGAGTCCGTTTCTACCAACTTATGACTCGGATGACTTTATTTCCCCATACTCTAATCTATGAA